ATCTGAAGTGTTGTATTCTTATTTAATTGTTATATATTTTATAATTATTACGGATAGTATAGAAAGGCTGATGGAGATATATCTGTTGCCTAAGATATATTCGAGGATATTTTTAAAATTGCGCACCTCCTAGGACTGTCATCGTCATGCAGTATCTGCAGCATTGTTACGACTAGCAACCAATTAAAAATATGTCAAGAGTTTAATTATTGGCGCCTTAAAAGCAGATGACAATTGATAAATTATGCATGTTATAGAATAAGGTTGTCGTATAAGTAATACGAATAAAGCGCGACAAGCCATTTACAAACCCATTATTGTTACCCCCATTGTTACTATTTCTGAGACAATAGCTGCTCAAAAAACAAAGGCCTGGACAAATATATATCCTAATACTGTAATATCACGAGGAACTTTTATTCACAGATTTCGCATGACAAAGTCTCACCTTTCACGAACTCCTTAATACTGTCTTTAATCATTCTGTCTATCAGTCTAATCAGTCATAATTTTCCTTAGCGATATTATTTTTAGCACTTTAAATTATTCGAAAATTTTTATTTTTTATAAACATTCCCTGCAATTAAAAGAGTTTCCGTATAGACGGTAAATAGAGTCGAGCTTACCATTAATTTCGTAGAAACTTTGACAACAGAGTCGTTTACCGTATACTACCGTGAATAAGCACCCACCCTTAACAATAGCGAGGGGTGCCAACTCTCATTGGCATTATTAAAACGATCAACAAATAATTACACTAGGAAACGGGAACCGTTATGAGTCCGTCAAAGTAGCAATTTTAATGAGATAACAATAACGCCTTCATCAATCACACGAGATCATGTGCCGGACAGAGAAAATCACGTGATCGAAAAATTTTCATAATGATAGTTAAAAAAATGTCATCATTTATTTATCGTAATATATTATGCTGATTACAACCATAAATCTAATCAATTTCGTATTCATATGTATTATTAATACATGAAAACCGCCAATGCCTCATTTGCGACTTTTTTTCCCTTCTGGTGTATACATCATTTGCGTCATGAACGAGTTCGCATTATCATCAGTAGGTGGTGTACTAAGGGTAGCTTTCTCTATAAAAGCCTCCAAATCATTTAGGCTTCGTGTGAGCATCTCCTTTACAACGTGAAAACTTTGTTAATATATGGGAAATTGCCGGAATTGTCACAAACATAAATGACTATATAGGCATACCTTAAAGAGAAGAAACATTGATGCACATCGGCGCAACAGGACCACATTACGTTTACTTGCTGGTAATTGTGTCCTCAAAACTTCTCGAAACACATATAACCCTTTGAAGGGTATAGACATTTCGTAAATGATAGCAGTATGATCTAATCATTTTCAAATTAATGGTCAGACAAGCAACCAATACAATATGTATTTTCATAATAGGAAAATACTTACTGTAAAATTGTATCCCATAAAGTTTCAACAGACTAAGGCTAGCACTTGTTCCGCCATAGATTCGTACAATTCTGTTCAGCATTATTTTTAACATTTTGGCGATCTTTATCTTGTCTCCAAAATAATGTGGGTGCTGCTGTTGGTTAGGTGGACCACTGACTTCCCCAAGAGCGAATTCATTCCTGGGCAGTTTCGTTGACCAAACGATGTCAATCTTTCTTCCACTACTATGGTCCTCAGCATCAGTTTTTCTTAGATCATAATCCTCTGCTGAGGCAAACAAACACACCTTGCCACTTATAAATAGAATTCAATCAATGCATTGACCTTTAAATGATCGAAGTCAATACATATTGTTCATCACTTACAACAAAATAACCAATTTCTCATGCTCTGTCCGAAATAGACTCTCCAGTACTGGAGTAAGAAAAATTTCCTGATACATTCGTTCTGAGAGGTTCTCATCAAAAAGATCTCCTCCCTGATCAAATGAGTTTGCACTATTAATACAGAACAAGGTCAGCAGAGAAATCAATGTCACATACTTTTCATTTAAAGAAAAATCCTACAGTTGATAAGCAAAATCCCATAGAAACTCCTTCTCACTGCTGCCTCTGGTCGGCAAAAAGTTCTCGTTCACTGCCTTGCGGAAGTCAGGTGCCTACAATGAAAGGTATGTTGATCAACTCATTCCAAATACACTCAACAAAATAGCTAAGTTTTTTCATCAACAAAGCATACCATAGCCATTTCCGTAGCCAATTTTTTGATATTGTCATCATCAATTTTGGGCAGTGGCTGTCCAAATCTTCTCATCTCTTCAATTTCGTCTCGTCGAAGACTTGAATTAACAAAGTCACTGCTTGTTTGGGATGTGAGATTAATAATATCATAGTATGCTAGGCTGAAATTCCCAAATTTACATTAATTGGTGGTTTGGTCATTAATGTCTCTAATAATAATAAGCTAGCAGCAGCGGTCAACTTACTCTTCATGTGATTGCTCTTTGATACTTTGTCAACTTGTTAACATCTCCTTGACATTTACTTTCTTAGATCCCACAAGCCATTCCCCATTGCCCTGAAGAGTCTCCATGGCCTGTTTCTCCAATTCATCTTCCCTAACATCACTGTCTCTCTCATTGTTTTCGTCATCCCCTTTTTTGTTGACAGATTGGATAGCAATACTCAATAATTTGATCAGTCATTTTTAATTATCTGACTTCACTTTCTACCAATTCATACCTTGACCTTCAAACCCGTCTTCTTCATCGCTTGAGTGAGTTGAGCATTTTTGCCTTCGTTCCACCAGGTTTCTTGTTCTCATTTGAAGTCAGATTAGCCAGCACTCGCCACCCTCATTAGATGCAGTCAGAAAAGGATTCTCTTCGAGCTATATCAAAATTACAGACAATCAACAAGTTATTCCAATCCAAGGCCACCGAGAGTCAAAAAAAATGATTACACCAGACCAGATGAACTCTTCGCTTACCTCATTTATATTTACCCTGTCTGTCATGTCCAACACATCATTCCACTTGCGTTTCAGAGTGTTGTTGATATCTGTTCAAAATAGACGATGGAACAGAGCTTGGGAAAATAAATTTGCACATGTTTGACTCTAAATTGAAAAAATTGATGGCTTACCTCCATGTTCCTTAAAAACAGAATATACAAATACAGTATATCAGATTGATGATATACACTGTGAATTATATAATGATAACACATACTGCTGTGTAATGTTTACCTTTTGTTTTCCTTTATTCCTGACAAAGACATTTAATTCTCGGTGTACTCCCATATTCGTTTCATGGATTTCGTCACAAATTGACTCCTATCAGATTAAAGTTATCATATTAGTTACGAACTTTGTTGAGTTTGCGATTGAACGCACCACTTTTTTTTCTACAAGCCACAAACTCCAATCTGAATTGCACTATTAATAATAAAAGTATATGTTAGAGATACAATATACTTGAAATAAAACGTATTTGATTACATACATTAACGATTTCTTAGTTTTAACTGTTTTTCCTGATCCTCACATAGGTTGATAGTGTCATCGAGTATTTTAACATACTTTTCAATCGCACGAGATTTATGTATTGGTTGGATGAGACGAAAGAATTCTATAGGAGTTGGGTTGTTATGCGAGATCATCCAATCTATATGGCGTTTCCTAATGGCTTTGTATTTGCGTGAAGTGCTCATAATGATATCTCAACGTATAAAAATTTTAACAAAAAGGGAAATGAGTGAATTTTTGTTTGATTAAACCCAAAATAACAACTCAGGTGTGTGTGCTGTTATTTCCTCAACAGCCGGCCATCCTAAAATGATGATGACTTGCCATTACTGGCTTCCGATAGACCGTACTCTATCGCAGACGCTTTGAGTACTCAACAGACACCTAACAACTTTGTAGTCCAAAATCAGCCGGCCATCCTAAATGATTGATGACTTGTCAGATGCTGGCTTCCGGTAGACCGTACTCTACCGCAGACGCGTCATTTGTTCTTGATAGTCCAAAATCAGCCGGCCATCCTAGATGATTGATGACTTGCCAGATGCTGGCTTCCGGTAGACCGTACTCTACCGCAGACGCGTCATTTGTTCTTGAAAAGCTGTCGTAAATTATGTGAAAGAGACGAAAAAGAACTGTTCTCCAGTAGTATGGAGTTTTGCGTTCTTTATTTGTTTACACCTACGTTCTCCAGTAGTATGGAGTTTTGCGTTCTTTATTTGTTTACACCTACGATTTTCTCCGGTAGTATGGTGTGGGACACCTAAAGACCGAACAGTCCGAAATTTTGTTCTGCAGATCACTTATCAATCACATGATATTTG